GAGAATATTCTAGGAGCTTGTTAGCAATTTTTGAAATAAAACAGCTCCACTTCTCTCTCTCCTATCTGGCGCCTAATGATTGGTATTTTATTTTAAATACTCTCCTCTTATGTGCCTAAGTTTTTAGTTGTTCCTCCAAGGGTTTTTCTGAAAACCTAGCCTATTCTCTCCTCTCTCCTGCGCCACTTGTGAAGCTTTCACATTGAGAGCTTCATTTTTTCAAACACTTTCACCTAGCCTCCATCTTCACAAATAGAGCGCCTAGCAAGCCTCTTTGTGGTGATCATCCGGTGGCTTCACAAGAAGGAGTTCTTGCACCTAGACGAGTGGGTGGTGTGGATCAACGTTAGAGGGTCTGAACCCTTCAGACCGGCCTTGATCATCTGGTGATTTCACGAACAAGGTAACATCATGCTTTCCTAAAGTATGACCTTGATGTGCATGTATATTCCGCAAAGAAAAATTTTGTTTTTCCCTCTTGCATGCATCGGCCTTCAAGGCCATTTCGAACTTTCAACATCATGCTAACACTTTCAATGGTACTTAAAAGAAAAATATCACGCATTTAGGAAGGTATATAGGTTCGGCCATTTAGGGTTCATGCCTTTAGGAGATTATTTTTAAAAGATGCTTACTTATCATGCTAACACCATCACTTCAACCCTCTCTATGATACTTTAAAGACAATATTAAACATTTTAGTGACACACCTAGGTTCGGCCACTTTGGGGTGATACACTTAGGAGGTGATTTTAAAGATGAAAGATGCATGCATGGTTTTATTAGTCCAAGATCTAGTCATATAAATTAGTTAGAGTTCATTCTACTCACTTGAAGGGATGAAGAGCTCATGAGATCTTACCTCAAAGATGATGTCTAAAATATAACTCCAACTTGATCTTCAAGGAGTCTCATAGGGTTGGGAGTTGCTTCCAACATCCTCTTGGTTTCTCTCTATGTCGGTGATGGCAAGAGAGTTTGAAGAGCTTAGAATAATTTTAAGGTGATCTTAGGTCCTACTACTTGTTATGGCCGAAGCTTAGGAGTAAAGGAGATGAAGTGTTTGAGTGTTTACTTGCTTGGCTTGATGAGGAGAGAAATGGCCGAAGCTTAGGGAAAAAGGAGAAGAAAGAAGTCCTTTATCTTGTCGCTTGGTGCTTCACGGCCTTAGGGGGAGGAGGAAGCTCTTTGCTTGATCTTTTATTCAAGCCTTGCAATCATTTCCTTGAGGTATTAGGTTATGACTTGTGAGTGTGTAGAAAGCTATCTACATGCATTGGGTGAAGGGTACTTGAGTGTAACTTGTGAATGTGGGGGAAGTTATCTACATGCATTGGTGGTGAATGGTGTTTGGGTGTGGAGTGTGAACAATCTTTCCTTGTTCTTTGTTGATGGCCGAGTGTGTAAGGAGGAGAGGTGATGCATGTGTTCCACTTGGCACTTGATTCAAGGAGGGTTTGAGTGTGAATTTGCACTAGGGTTTCTTGGCTCCTTGAGTGATGTGGCCGTGAGGAGAGAGGGCTTTGGTCATGTGACTTCCCTTGGTGACCGTGTATGCCTAGGGAGGAGGAAGATTTGACCTTGTAAGATGGCATGCATGGCTTGAGTATGTAAGAAGAAAGTTTCCTTTTCCTTGTCATGAGTGCGCCCTCCAAGGTGTGTAAGAAGAAAAGGAGAGTTGCTTTTTGGAGAAAGAAGATCACATGCATGGTTAAGGCTTGGAGTGTGGAAGAAGCAATCTTCCTTTTTCCATCTTTTTTGCGTCATCTAAGGTGGGTATGGAAAGTAGAGTAGCTTTTGGAGAAAGGAAATCACATGCATGGTTAAGGCTTGGAGTGTGTCTTACTCAAGCTCTTACTTGTCCATTCTTTCCTTAAGTGGCGCCTAGGGAGTGTGGAAAGCAACACCACTCCCTTTTCTTCTTGTCATGGCCGAGTTTGCTATTGTAGGGGAGGTGGAGCTCATTCAAATTCATTCAATCATGTGATGACACCTCATCTAGGGTTGTTCCTTTGAATTGGGTTGGGCTTGGTGAGTGTCTTGGCCCATTAAGTTAATAAGTGTTGGACCATTTGTAATTGGGTCAAGGCTAGGTGGTGTGGGCTTGTATCTTGGTCTAGATACTAATTGGGTCATTTCTTATAAAATGGGCTTGCATTGCTTTGGGCTTAAATCCTTTAACTTAGTTATATTCTTAAGTAGGTTGGGCTTTAACTTTATTTGGCCTTTAAACCACATTGGGCTAAGTTATTAATTATCTTATTTAAAGTGGGTTCTAACTTAGGACTAATGTTGCTTATTCAAAGCTACTCGTTCACTAAATATGGACTTGATCCCTTTTCATTTCATTCCATTAGGCTAATTTCGAGTACATGATTTTTGGGTTATTACAACCCGCATCGCTAAATAATTAATAAAATAACATTATCGATGCCGGAGCATGGATTTGATAAATATTATGCATAATTATGATAAGATAATTATTTAGAAAGTTAAATAATGCTTAAAGTCGCTTTTTTGATGAAAAGTGCAGATATCGGTTCTGTTTCACGATATAAATGTGTACCGGTGAAGTATTCTGAAAAATTATAATATAAATATAAATATTCCTAGAAAAATATATAGGTATAGGATATCAAGTTTGGAGTAAGAATAATGAGCGGTGATGCCAGAACTAATACCAGTTGCGTATAAAACACGTACTGAAAAATGTCTAGGTTCAGAATATTAAGTTTGGTAGAAAAATGATTAGCGGAGCTAATAAAACAAATACCGGGGGTTCTAAGTATAATAAGTGACACTACTCTAAAAACCCTAACTTTCTTATAAAAAACACACTCTTTCTCATTCTTTACTAACCTAAGTCAGCCACCAACACCCCTTATGGCAGAAAATTCCACTCCTCTCTAGGGTTTCTTCATTCTTTCAAGAATCAAGCATGAACATCCATCAATAGTTAACCATTCATCACTATACCATAGATACAACTTAGAGTCTTGAGTTTTAGAGAGAAAAACATCATCTTGAGTGATTTTTCGTTTCTGCCATATGGAGTAAAAATGAGATGTTTCTATTGTTAAAGACATATATCATCTTGTTCTTCTTGTGTGGAGCTTCAAAGGTTAAAAAGCTCAACCTTTCCTTTGTTCTACATGATAGAAAGTATGATTTAGGTTAAAGATTGAGTCTTGAAGTTATTTTTGTGTTTAAAACGTATTGGTATGTTAATTAAATGACTAAACAAGTTTGGGAGATCATTGGAGGTCAATTATACCTTAAAAACTCAATTTTCTGCATTCTGTCGAAGAAGTATTCGAATACTTTTCAGGCAGTATTCGAATACTTTCTTGAAAAATGTAGTAATCGATTTCTTCGCGATACAACAACAACCTAGTTTAGTAAAATAGCGATATCTCGAGCTACAGAGCTTCAAATTGAGTGAGGTTTGGATCTACGTGAAGCTAACACATAGGGATACAACCCTGTAAAATTTAATATCCATTAAATTAGTGGATTGATCGCAGTTTATGTTTGAAGTCGCGACTCTATTGCTGAAAATTTAGTTTGTTGTAGGAACTTTGCAAAAAATATAATCGGAGTTATACAACTCCAAATGAGACATGTAATATGTCGTTGTAAAGCTGGAGATGTGTAGTTTAACGTATTAAAATATTAGAATTTTTGGTGAAGATTTGCAATTAATTTTTTAAAAAGAGTAAATGCAGTTTTGTGCTTGGGAGCTTTGGGAGAAGCTTACAGTAGGCTAAACGAAAAAGAAATCATGTTCCATTTGACATGAAATTATTAGATATGATTATTGATTATGTGTTTGTCACTAAACTAGATTGTGACTTGTTGGACTGTTTGGTTGTTGGTGACCACGTTGATACTGAGTTTATATTAGAGGACTTTACCGATACAGGTAAGCTTTTGGTCCTCGGTTTTATCTGTTGCTTGTTCTACCAAATCCCATGGGGGATTGGTTTATGTGCAAGGTATGTTTTATGGAATAATATCTGTTTATGTTATGAGTATTGGATAAGATGTTGAGCTGGATTTTGGAATCATATTTTTTTTATGTTATAAGTATTGGATATGATATTGAGCTGGATTATGATATGGTACATTTGCCATATGTATATGTATGTGGTGTATTCCACACGAGACGGTAATCCCTGAGCATGTCAGGCCATATGCAAGATGGTAACTCCGTGTGTGAGGTACATAGTGGACTCCTTGTACTTTGGGTTGTAGACGTACGTAATCCCTACATTTTATTCTCTAGCTAGTAGGATGCATACACACATGACATGGACATATGCGGCATTGCACACTCATTTGATATATTGCATGGCATGCTCATTTTATATACTGCATTGTTTACTGCTATAAATGGCCCAGTATAGACATTCCCTTTATCTTGTTATTAATCTGCTTCCTTATATACTGCCTGCACTGTTTTTAGAACTTATATTATACCTATAAGTGAGCTTGGGGTAGAGGATTACTTGAGGATCCATTGTCTTACTGAGATTTCTTTTTGAAATCTCACCCTTTTTGGGGCACATTTTCAGGAGATGACATTCGTGAGACGAGCATTGGTAGAGGCAAGAGGCCAGCATAGATATTTCATTATTGTTATAAGCCATGCATATTATGATTATGTATTTTGCCATGATGAGCCTTTATTATGAATAGACTTGATTGGATTCTGTTCTTATTTGAGGTGAGCATAGGGGTTGTCTATGCCACTATTAAATAACTTGTTTATTTGTTGACTTGAGTATTTGTATTGTAGCACCATGAGTTATGGATGCTTTTGAATTGTTATTTATGAGTACGAGGTATTTCAGATTTATTTTAGTGTTACAATTACATAAGGATTGTTATTAAAAGGAAAAGTTAATTCACCATGAAGATTAGCCTTGTTTATTTGAAGAAAACAGTTATTGATTCTGCGATTAATTATTATAAGCTGCGCTTTAAATACCATTTGTATGTTAATACACCGGCCGCAGTCGGGGTGTTACATCAGCCAATATGAATCTCACTCTTTCGAATTTGAATGCTTTCTTCGTTCCCAGGGTCAACCTGAGATCTATATAGCCTTTAGGAGGTGTATTTTCTCCGTTAAAAGCTATCAAGGTTGTCTTGTAGGGTTTGAGGTCCTCCTCAACAAGGTTCATCTTTTTGAAGGCACCCCATAGTATAATGTCGGCATTGCTTCCTGCATCTATGAAGATCTTTTTAACCCGGTAATTCTCCAGGGTTCCGGTGACGACCAGCCCATCTACATGCCCTGGAAAAACACCTTGCATATCTTCCTTTGTGAAATAGAGCAGAGGAGGGTCTGATTTGCTGGGGTCTTCCTTAAATTTAGGCCGATCCCGGATCGAAAGCACTTATTTCAGATACTTTCGCTTAGCACTTACAGTGTCTCCTCCTCCTCCAAGAGCTCCACTGATCACGTTACAATTGAATTCAGCTTCTTGGAATTCATCATTGTTGGAATCATCTTTTTGGTTCCTTTCATCTTTCTGGTTCCTTTCATCTTTCTTTTTCTTCTCAGGTACCGGGCTCTTGCTCCTTTTTCGGTTTCCAGGCTTCCTCTTATTGTTTTTGGAACCCTGAGTTTTGATCATATACTGGCATAGTTTTCCTTCTCTAACAAATTTCTCCACAACATCTCGGAGATCCCAACATTGATCAGTGTTGTGACCAGGTCCATCATGGAAGGCGCAATACTTAGACTTATCCAAACCTCCTCCATCAAATATGGGCCGAGGTCTATCTACTTTCTTCATCTCCATCATTGCCACTTCCCTCCAAATTTAAGAGCGTGAGGCATTCAACGATGTATACTTCTCATATCTTTCAACTTGGTCTCTATCATCTAGGATTCTGCTTCTGGATTCTTTCTTTTTATTACCAGTTTGCTCCTTTTCTCTTGGGGCCGGGCTCCTCCTTCTTGGGCTCATTCTTTTTCCATCCTTAGATTGCGCATTTGCTATCTCCATTTGTTTGAGTTCTAGGTACTTCTTCGAACGAGTCCTGAATTCCTCCAATGTCCTCACTGGGTCTTTATAGACCGACTTGACTAGTCTAAATTCTCCATCCAAGCTAGCCACAATGAGATGTACATGGATATTTTCTTGTAAACCTGGCACTTGTAAGGCAGCATCCTTGAACCGGTTGAGATACCTCTGGAGGGTTTCTCCGGGTTATTGTCGTATCTTCCCAAGTGTGAACTCAGACTTTGGATGCTTTTTGCTAGTTGTAAAATTCAGAAGGAACTTTTCTCCAAATTCCTCAAAAGATCCAATGGAATTAGCAGGAAGGGTTGAAAACCATGCCTGCACTGCCCCAGTTAATGTTATGGAAAATATTTGAGATATGAGGGGCTCATTTATCCCTCTGATATACATGTCCATGTCGAAGGCATCTATGTGGACATGGGGGTCCTGACATTCATCATATTTTGGCAAGCGTGCCGAATCAAAATCCTCCAGGAAAGGAGCATTCAGTATTTCACCAGTGAAAGGGCTGTTATTATACTGCTTCGTACTATACTTCCTCCTGTACCCACCGGGTTCAACTTATCCTTTGGTGGTTTGAGTACTTTGGTCATGGAAAAGAGCATCCCGATTTCTCTGGCCATTTGCTCCTACTGAAGCATTATGGGTCAAAGTTTGCACAACAGCATTCTTATCACCCATTCCAATGTTCTCCAGGTTCGGACCCAACGTGCTCCCAAGATTGGGCCTTCCATTGTTTCTCGGGTTTGTACTCGATGTGATTCCCGGATTAGGACTTCATTGGTTTTCTACATGATTAACCCGATTTTGATGATCCGGGTTGTGGTTCCTTTCTCGGCCATCAGCATCTCAGCCTGGGGCCTCTCTCACTCCAGGCCCTGCCATCAAGCGCTGCTCCAACTCTTGCATTCTCCTGGTATTTTCTTCCTGCATTCTCTGGAAATCTTGCCGCTGGAGGTTGTTACGATTCTCCATCTCCACCATTCGCCGTAAAATTGCAGCGACCGCATTTTGAACGAATCTAGAATTAGGATCCGCAGGTTGGGCAACGCGAGTAGCAGCAATATCCCCAGGATGTTGGGGAGGATTATTCAGAGCTGGAGCCGCAACTCAGTCGCGGGGTGCTTGATAACTCATATTTTATTACACTTATTTGTTACTCTTGATTAGTATTTTTAGGAATTATTTGAATAAAATAATGATTTTTAGAGTTAATTTAGATTTTTAGTTTTTGATTGGGTTTAATTTATTTTCGTCAGAATTTTTCGGACTTACGTTACTTCTGTATTTTTGCCATATCTCGATCCACAGTTGTCGGATTGACTCTGTTCTTGTTGGATTTTCCAGATAACGCAGAGGGCTACAATTATTATGCAGAGCTCGAAGCCTAAGTCAGACTGGAAGCTGGTCAATATTTGATGCCAACTTGGACGCATTTTGTTGAAGTTTTATTTTATTATTGGACTTGTAATTTAAATTAAAACCCAATTACTTAAGTGGCCCAAAGCCAAGTTTTAGTTTTATTTTATTTTATTTATTTTATTTCGTATTATAGACAGATGTGCCGATCTGAGTTGAAAACTTTTCATCAATCTGTAATTTTCGAATTTTTGGGATCAAAGGATTTTCTCTGAAGCGTTCTTCGCGTTCTTTGTCTTTTTCTTCTTCTTCTTTTTATTTTATTTTAATTTTTAATCATGTTTATCCTAGCCATGCTAGGCTAAAACCCCTTTAATCAACCTAAGGGGAAGGGAGTTCATAGATCTGTCTAGAGGATTTGCGATCATTCTCTAACTAGATTTGTTTCTTTTCCCTATCTCAGATCGATATCGTGCGAATGTGGATATTCAATCTGAGGTTCGCGATTGCGATTATGAAAAAGAATGATCATCAGATTTGATGATCAGATTGTTCTCAATTGAAAATAAGGATTCTGATTCAATTGAGATTAATCGCGAATTTCGTAATTTTTATCCAAGGAAGGACATCCTAGGAACCCTAACCTTAGGTTGGTTAATTTTTATTTACGAATTTTTAATCCCAATTTTTATATTCTGTCTTTTAATTATTCAACCAAAATCCAAAACCCCCCTTTTTGATTTTCTGTTTTCATAAGCGATTTTTACCAAAATAATTTTCTTGAGAGACGACTTAGGGTTTCCACTTTACTGCAAATTTTCTGAACCCTAAATAAAAATAATTTTTAATTTGCGCGAGCTCGACAGCTCGCGTCTTTGCTGGGGTGGAGGCTGTGTCTGATACATCCTCGCTGATATGAACATGATCATAATCTATCTCATTATCAGGCTAATTTTGAGGTCAATTCACCTCTTCCAGGACTGGATCCAGCGGCTGATTCTGAGGGTGTGGCTGTTGGCTATTACTCCTTGTACGGACTGCCATCTTCAGTCAGAATGGTGGGAATGTCAAATTCAAAGAAGAACATCCCCACAGATGGCGCCAATGTTCTTTCTAGGAGACAGAGATGTCCAGCCCAATAGGTTGGTGTGTTGATCTTGGATCTAGTGCACTCTCCAAGGTATCTATGAAAGAGATACCCTTGAGTCAAGCAGATCACTGTGCATAACGAACTAACAATGGTTTTTGCCAATGGGGTGTGTGCGGGCGCACAGTGACAACATAACAGTAAGGGAGAGAGTGTAACGTACCTTTAGAGTTTACCTTTTATTTATAGAGGTTACCTGTGGGTAATACGATGTGGACCTTTAGAACCTCTGATGAAGGCCCAGGCCTGTCTGCTACGCTGTCGTATTAGGATTAGTATCCTTCATGGATACTATCCATAATTACACTTGATTTAAATCTTGGATTGCCTATTATTGGGTCTGTCATTCAATGGTTGATAAACTAGGTTGATAAGACAAAAATGCTTTTTTAAAATTATAAAGTTTAATTTACATAGTTAAATAAACTTTTGTAAAATAGACTAGTTTGTTTAATAAATAGATTAAGCTCAAATAAGTTAGAAAAATAAGCTGACATATGCTCATTTCAGACCGCCTATCTCATTGTACCTCGTTAATTAGGTAGGTGGTAAGAAAAAAGGGAATTTGTCCTATATGAAAATGTATTTATAAAAACAAAGAAGAAAAGAAAGAGTATTAAATAAATAATAAGTATATTTATGATCAGACCAAATACAATATGGGCTGGCCAAAGTGTACTGGGTCAAATCACACACGGTTGAAGTGAGAAGGCTTTTAGGTAATCTGTCTTTTGGCTGGTGGATGTTGATGATGAAGGTAGGACTTTGGTTCTTCTTCGATGCGGTGAGCTTGACTGGGGGGTACCTGCAATGACACTTCGACGCTCAAGTCAGTATCAATGTCAAGTTTATGTGTATTCTTACTGAATTAGATGATCATACTTGGACATGTACCCTCTGTTTATATAGTGGTTCTGATGTCGTCTTAGGAAGGCGATATGGCCTCTAATTGGTCGTTCAAGGGCTGCAGGTTCTGATAGTGCTTTAATAGCCTTATCTCTTGATGTCATGCTACCTTGATAGAGTGGTGGCAAGCTGGAGCTGTCTTCTGTTTACTTGTTTAAAGGTACGGTGAACCTTTATTAGTTCCTGAGCTTGCTTCCTTATCTCTGAAGTTATGTTAAAGGGCGGTTACATGCGCGATGGTGGCATCGCGCCATGTTATGGGGGATGTAAACAATCGCGCCTCACTCTAGGCCTTGTGGGTTTGGGCCTTTATTCTATGTATTTGGACCTCTGATGGGCCTATCATATTTTATCCGGATCAGTTGCCCCTTAGCTCGCAGTTTTGGTATGTGGCAAAGCTGAGAGATATAGATATTCTTTTATGCGCGATGTGTTTCTTTGGCGCGTTCACTTGATGTCGTAATAATCATGCGGAAGAATCATCATTACTTAGCCGCTTAAAAACGGTTGATTAGATGTTTAACTGTTAGATGCATTTAATGCCACCGTAATTACGTGGGTGCTTAATGACAATCGTGGGCTATTTTAAGATTTAAACATTTTACCTTCCTTCCACGTGTCCTCCTTTTTATCCGTTTAACTCAACACATTTTAACCTTTTGGGTTGCTTGCGGTATCTTTTCATATTTGTACTGAGCTACTTAACTTGGAGGTTAATCACTCGAAGCACTCACTGTAGCTATGTTAACCTCTCTTCCTCTAAATTCGATTTCTGATCTTCCCATTTGGTGCTGACATGTCCTACTCCCCCTTTGTTCATTCAGAGTATATATCTCAGGTATGTTCTTTCTTCAATTTTTATTCTTCGGTGTTCTGCTTTATTTGTTTGTGTTTTTCTGGCATTCGAGCTTTGGGTATGTCTGATAATCACAAATTTGTGAATTTTATCAGAATAGCCAAACGGTCTGGCTCTTCCATTCCTCCACCCAGGTCCCTTACCTACGTCGAGGTCTTTAGGAACCGGGGAATCGTGGCTTACTGGTAAGTGTGTTGCCCCTAGAAGAAAGTGATTTTGAACGATAACTGTACGTCTTCTGTTTGACGGTTTGAAATAGGTTCTTCCTCTCGTGAACCTAAGTGCGGGATAACCAGAACTTTATCGCAACAAAGTTCGTCCCTTTTCCAAAAGTTCACTTTAAAATGACCAGTCCTATTTTTATATCGAGCGATTCTACCTCAAATTCTGGTTGTAGTCATAAGTCTGTTAATACCCTAAACTCCAATTTTTCCCCTTCAATTTCATCGCGCGATATTTTTCCTTCCATCGCGCAAAATCAACCTAGCCATAGGAGTCCAAGCCCCT